CAAACTTTCATCAAATGGCTTATAATAATCTATGTTATCTGTTGGTTTTTTTTTCAATTTTTTTGATAAGATCAACTCATTCATTCTTTGACATGCATTTCAGTCTAGGAGGGTCAATAGACTCGCTATTATAAATGACCAACCAACCCAACCTTTGAACAAGTATCACTGAATGTTTGATAGCAACCATTTTATTTTTGATTATTGCTAGTTTACCTTTATGGTAAATTGTGGCTGATTCTACTAATATTTTATTTACGTGACTTGCAACTCTTTTACCTTTGGCAAATTCATGATTCCAATTATTTGCTTCTGGGTTTGCTTCTTGTATCTCTTCTTCAGTATCTTAATTGATCATTGATAATACAGGTTTTGCATATATATAGCATATTGCAGATTTTGTATATTTCTTAAACTTCTTTAATAAATTTAAATTTGCTCATAAAATTAGTATTTTTTGAAAAAAACTTAAAATTCAGTGTAACAAAATTAAAGAAAATTTGATGTAAATTATAGATACAATAAAAGAGTAACTTGGTTATCAAAAATTACAAATGTAAAATAAAATGTATGAACAAATAAAAACTGAGCATTTCACAAGATGCAGTAGAGTCAGAATGTGAATATTTACTCCTTTTTACCTTCAAAAATATCATGCCAGTTTTTTAAATAGTTTTCATTAATTTTTTCTATTCTGCTAATCTATTTTTTCAAAATATTTTTTTTAAGCCCCAATTGTGCCAATTGTTCGATTTTTGCTATTTAATATTTTATCTAGTATTATCTGATAAATCCTGCAATTATGCTATATGTCTGACAGAAAAAATAACTGCCTGCTAAATGATTTTTCAGATTCCATGTAATGCAAAATGAAAAATTAACTTTGCATGGCCTAAACAAAAGAAACTGAATTAAATCTGAGTAATCTGAACACTTTATCATAAGGATAGGAATCATAAAGTCATTAACTAATCGACTAAATTTTTGAATCTAAATGAAAAGTTGAATAATAGTCTGTTATGCCTTCTAAATATTTCTAACACTAAGATTTCATATATATCATTATTGCACTTTGCAAAAAAGTATAACCCTACAATTTTCATGATAATGATAATGAGAAATTTTGAAGATTCTAAATACTCTACCAATCATATATTCAATCAATAACACTTTTTTGCAAAGCGCAATAATTCTAGTGTGGGAACTTTTTAAAAAAATTGCATACAGTAATGTATAGCTATTGGGTTTGAAGCAGCCAATAATGGAAATTATTTGGAAAATAACTTATTATCTGGCTGTTAAGTTTAATATATTAGCTTCAGTTTTTGGCTGGGTAGCATTCAATAATGGTATTATCTGATGTCTTACTATGATCATACCAACAGAATGACTCGAGTTCTTTTGGTTATTATTGTGTCATCATCAAAAATAAAGTTATTTGATAATGATGCAATCATCATCAAAATAACAGAGTTATTTGATAATGATGCAATTATCATCAAAATAACTTGAGTTATTCTGTTAGTATGCTCATAGTAAGGTGTCAGATAAAAAATAATTACTGATTTGGAACTTGGAACTAGGCATGACCAATCATTGGTTATGACAAATAATAATTCATTATCCTATAATTAGTCATGCCCCAGTGCCAAATAGTTAAGATCGGCATTATGATATCTGAATTTTTTTTAAGACACATCTCCATAATTATCAGTATCTAAATCAAAATTATGATGATAATGAATAACGACAGATTACCATTATATTAGAAAAACTAGTAAGTCTTTTTGTTTTTTTTATAAAGACCAAAAGTTCAAACTGGACCTATTGTTATGCATTTAATAAGAACTCATTTCTTGCTTTAATCTTATTTACCAAAGTTTATGTTTTTTAAACCCTTTTATATATTAATGCCAATTTAATTCATGAAATCCAATTTTTTTACTCCTGAAATGGTGAGAAAATTAAAGGTCAGATAAATATGTAAGATTTGTTTTTTATAACATTTTTAGTGTTAGTTATAATGTTGCTTAAAAATGCTTTAACTGATTTAGCTGATTTCACTGACAAAGTTTGCACAGAACTGAAACTTAGTAAAATTATTCTTGAATTTAGATGAGAAATCACTAAGTTAATTTCTTGTCATTATGTATCTGAAGTTACACTGCCACTAGGGTAACATCGGAGAACTGGAAGCACATCATGGCCACAGACATGCAATGTTTGTGAACGTCCTTCTCTGTTATATCTATTCTAAAAAGCTTGTTCTGCTTCACGCAGAGGTTGTGTTGAATAGGATGCAATTAATGATAATTACTTATAAAATTTTTTTTCTTTATAGTCAGAAACATTTTGTTTGGAATTCACAAAAAACATTATGTTTTAGTATACTGCAACAACAAAGTTAAAAAAATACTTAAAGTTTGTAATATTGAACAATTTCTTGAAATCATTGATGAGTTGCTATCAGAAAATACTGTGGCTATTCATATAATATCAGTTCCTGTCGCTTTCTCAAGAATTACTGTTAAAAAGTGTGCAAGTTTGCCAAACAATATTTTATTCACAAATATTCAAGAACTTGATTGTGTTATCGAAAGATACTTTCTAACTAAACAGACTCTGTTAAGGATAACATGTATACAATAATAAGAAAAGTTAAAGAAATAAATAAGAAATTCGAGAAATCTGAGACTCAAAGAAAAGTAGAAAAAATAGTTATAATTTTTTTACTTACCTTATTACTGTTAGTATATATTAGTTTTTTTGGATTTTCTAAAATTTTATTACAATTAGTGATTAATTCATTTTTAAGTTTGTATTCATTTTGCATTTTTCGAATGCCTTAATTTTTTAAAAAAGTTTTTACATTCAATTTTGCTGGGCTTTTTCTACAATATCATATTAAAATTATTCACTTTTTTAAATAAATATATAAAATATATATATATTGAAAAATTTTATTTGCTAAATGTACATAAATATATTTACTCAGTAGTCAATTTAATTAAAAAATCTTGTTCAGAGTAAAGTGGAGAACACTATATGTGTAAAGTGATAAAAATATTTATTTGCGATTTAGAAAAAAAAATCTTTGAAGTAATATAGGAGCATTATATTTTGCTTTTTTACCAATTGCCAACACCCGATATTATGTTTTCAATAATCTTCTACTTTTTTACCTATAGTTATTATGGAATTGTGATAATAATTTTGCTATTTTTAGTGTTCTTGAGAATTTTACCAGAGTGAATAACTTTAAACAATTAAAGTGTTTTAATCCATTTCTCTCTTCTTTTTTTTTAATAAATACTCTCTTGAATATTGGAAGAAATTTTATATTTTTCAATTAAGGATTTTACAGTAAGAATATAATGTGATCTATTTAAAAATTTTGTTGTAAACTGTTTAAATTTGTATAAACAAATTAAAAGAATTACATTTCTAGAAAAGAGACCAAGTGTTAAAAATTTCGCACAAATATGCAGTACAAAAATTTTTTATTACATGAAGTTATTTTATTTTTTAAGCATTTTGCATGGCCCATTGTTAATTTACTACAAATTTTTAACATTGACAGTACTATATATTACTTTTAAATAATCTAATCTAAATTTAGATGGTTTATAATAATATATTTTAAGAATTTGAATAATACTGTACAATATGATTTAAATAACTATGATTTAAACTTTCTAGTATACTAGAAATAAGAATCTTACATTTTAAACAAGATTATTATTATTATTATTATTTTTTGTAAACCTCAATGGTTAATTTTATTTTGATATATTTTAATACGTACAATAAAAATGCCATCAATTTATTGTTGTAAAAGTTTTAAAACTAAAGTTTTAATTAAATTATTAATACACAATTGAATAAATCTATTCATATTGTAATTGATTCATATCGATATTAAAATTGAATGAATCTACTATTCGTGAAGTAAAGTCAAAAAGAAATAATTTGTTTACTAATTATAAAATAAATCTCAAAAACCCTTCTTATTGCATTTGAAGTTAGTGTAAATATTAAATATAAATATATATTTTGCAGTCCCATAGGACCACAAAATCATATGATCATTTAGCTTTAGTGAACTTTGCATTTTATCATTGCAAAAAATTATTGTCTCCTAATACTAACATTTCCTTAACAAATTTATTAGCATAGTATTTTATTACACATATATAGTCATATGTATAGTCAAAGAGGTTGTTATTTCTACTCCTATGCTCATGATTTTTCATTGTTTTGTATATATATTTGTTTGAAAATCTTTAAACCTTTATTTTGTATTGTTAAAAGAAGGACTTGCATATTTGTTAAGTTCATATAAGACAAAGGCATTTAAAATTAATGATCGAATTAATCTCAAAAATAGGGACATACTTTTTAGCACTATTGATCTTACAACTTTTTATTCTTACATTTCTTTGCCCAGCTTTTGGTAATACAGATTTTATAATCATATTTTTTTAATCTAAGCAAAATTGACATGTTTAAGTTCTTTTTATTACTGTCAAAAGTTCTCATGAATGGATTGAATTGATTAACTATAAATATAACCAATTAATTAGCATAGCTATGTTTGCATAACTATGACCTTATCAAGCAAAGCCTGAAGGAAAATCCCTCAGCACTATTTAAGTCTCTATTAATTTGAAGTCCATATTTATTGCATTTAAACTCTTTATTTCTTCCTAAATATAACCACAACTGCTGCATGTTTTATTTGTGTATACTTCTGAAACAGATATTATTACAATTTTACTGAATTTCTCTATTTTAAATATTAATCACTTTCTAAACCTAGCATGTGCCCAACTCATCATCTTTCGAACTGTCTTGCTATTAATTTTTCTTTTTTGTCTACAAGGCATTCGTGTGCTATCAAATGTTGATAACACAATTATGTCGAAAGTACAAGTTAACCAAAATGATGCTTTTTTATATACTTCATCTATCAAATTTTGAATTCGTTTTTTTAAACATGCTTAAGCATGTTTCATGGAATTACATTTTTTTGCTGGTGTTCTAGCAGTGTATGAAATAAGATTATCAAGGGCTAGTCCTAGGTGAACAATGCGATTAATATCATTATCACCAAAATTTCCATGTCTAATAGTTGGTAAATATCAAGTGAAAAAAGTACGAACTCTAGGATCTATGGCCATCACATGAATATAATCTGCTTGGTTTTCGCAGACTTCTTTACCATAAACCCAAATAAAGGACCAATATTCTAATTTTTTATTATATAATAATTTTGAATCTAACATTACTTTTCCTTCTTGATTTGGCCAGCTGTTATTTTTTCGTTAGTGTTTATAATGAAGTGGGAGCTTTACATTATTTGGTTTATATCGTACATGCCTAGACTCAATAAGTTGAGCTCAGATAGATATAGTTTGTTGCTCATTCTTACATATAATTAATAATATAAATAAATAATGATAATAAATAATAAATATATAATCATAACGACAGGTAGCTTAAAAAATGATTACCTTTATTAAATTTGCTTTATACAAAAGAAAATTTTTTTTTACAATGAATATTTAATGTATATATACATATATATCATATTAATAAAATATAATGATAAAAATTTTTGTTATTAATTTAATTAAGCTATTACATCTCCTAGAATACTATTACTTTGATCAAATACCAGCACATTAAATTGAAATATCAAATAAACAGCTAAAAACAAATGCTCACTCTAATGCAATAAATAAACCAACAATCTCATCAACATTGGTTCAATTACAAGAAATGTTTGAAGACAAAACAGATAAAATATATATTAGCTTACCAATTACACAGCAAGCAGATATTACATCTACTTTAACAATACTTAGACAACACTTCAAAATCCTAAAAATTTCAAACTATATTTTACAACTACCACCACTCTCAGAACCAACATAGAACATCCTATCTAAATGATAATGACTAAGACATACCGAAATAGATACAACAATACTATAGTAAAAACACTAAACATGCATCATTATACAATATTAACTAAAACAACCAAAGTAATCCTATACAATATACAAGACATTAACAGCAAAATCAAACAGCAAGCTCAAGAAAAAAAGAATTTATGATTTAGAAAAGAAGCTAAGAAGACATTACTAGAGCTTGTCATAAAAGGGAGAAGATCCTTTTTTCTTTTTGAACTTTAAGTAGTTAGACAAGCAACCTACTTCAACATGTTTGAAGTAGTGCAGCAGGTCACACTTAGGTACTATTTGGGTGGCTGGGTAATGCTGGACTTAGTTGTTAAGAACATCTATGTAATTGCTAATATAATTCCAAGAATCTTAATAAAGTACTAACGTGGCTACTTAAGTTTAAAAAAAAATAAAAATAAAAATAAAAGTTTTTTAAGGGTAGAGTATATGTAGATCATTTTTTATATGATCTTTGTGGTACAATATAATTTTTATAAAAAATAAAGCT